CCTACGCCAGCCTTCCTCTGCACGCCCAACACATCTTCAAGAATACTGCTAAACAAACTCAGATGGAAACTTTATGGCAACACATTAGCATTTATGAACGACGAGCTGCTCCGTAAGGTGTTATATACAGACCCGAATGTCTTGTGTCTTCCTAAGAGAAACCCACATGGTTATCCTGCACTCGATAGCTGAACAGTGGATGTGGGCAACTCAACCCAGGCCATGAGTGACTAACATGCAGAAAAGTCAGGGTAAGAATTAACTATGCTCCTGAGTGCAGGCGATGAGTCACAATAACGTGGCTGAAGTATGTTGACCAGACCACACACTAGAAATTGAAGGGACGACAACGTTTCGGTCCGTCCTGGACCATTCTCAAGTCGATTCTTGAGAATCGACTTGAGAATGGTCCAGGACGGACCGAAACGTCGTCGTCCCTTCAATTTCTAGAGTGTGGTCTGGTCAACTGTGCTCCTGATATATGCATTTGAAGTGTTTGTCATCTAGAAATATTTTGCCATACTGACAGCGCATTGTACATGATAATTAATCTAAATTAAAATATTAATTATCACTGCATTAATACACATTTCATACATCTTTGAATCAAAACCTTGTACGTGTGATTGTTTGTATGTAGGTATTGATTTAATTTAACGGTTCCCATAGACCCGAGTAGCCACAAGTCTCCTTCCCGCACCCTCTTGACAAGGTCAAGCCACATGAATAATGATTCAGACTTGCTTAAGCCACCTCTGTCGCCGCTGCAGCTGCTGGAGGCCCCTGCTGTTGCTGCTGCTGCTGGAGGCCCCTGCTGCTGCTGCTGCTGCTGCTGCTGGTGGTGGTGGTAGTAGTGTTGCTGCTGCTGCTGGAGGTGGTGGTAGTAGTGTTGCTGTTGCTGTTGGATCCTTTTGCTGTTCTGTTTCTGCTGCAGCTGCTTCGTATTATATGACTGCTGAAACATCCTGAACTGCCCCGGATATCCAAGACATTCCTTCTAACCTTCGAATAGTCGACGAATTCTTCCCCAGAGATGGTTACGAGGGTGACACCAGCAGTGGCAGGGCGAGGCAGTGAGAGTGGCACTGTCTTCACCGCCAGCTGCACTTGACACAGGGTTCACGGCCTGACGAGCCAACACATGACCGCTCAACGACGCCTCTGTGCCTTATAACGTGGAAAGCAGAGTTATCGTTACACTAGATAACCGTGTTAATAAAAGCTTAAAAGAGGGATAGCTATTAAATAGGACGAAGTTGAATATATGGCAGATATTTACCCGCTGGCTGGAAACGTGGGCGAACACTCTTCAGTAATACCTACAAGGGTTCGAATCTGTAACCCAACGACATCTTGCAAAGCAATCCCGTCTGATAAGGTTCGGCTGGTGTAAGTGATGCTATCCTGGTGGGCAGGTCAAGTCGCTGAGTACTGGGCTCAAACCCACTCGAGGTTGGTGAGTCGATTGTTCAACCCTTCCTTAAAACATGGGCTAAAGGTGATCCAGCTCAGCACCCCCCCCCCTATTTTATTTATTTATTTTTTTTTTTGCGCAACCGCTCCCAAGATAAGTATGGGGTGCACAATAAACTAGCCGCTTCTTGTGGCAACAATAACAAATCAAATCTTCCTCGCCAGTACTACTTCCTCTTTTCTTGAGGTTACCTTGAGATGTTTTCGGGGCTTAGCGTCCCCGCGGCCCGGTCCTCGACCAGACCTTTTTGTTACACCCCCCCCCAGGAAGCAGCTGTCTAACTCCCAGGTACCTATTTACTGCTAGGTAACAAGGGCATCAGGGTGAAGGAAACTGCCCATTTGTTTTCCGCCGTTGCCGGAAATCGGTGGAACCCCGGTCCCTAGATCCACGAGACTAGAGCGTTGTCCACTCAGCCACCAGTCCCCCATATAATAATGTGTGCGCGCGCGCGTGTGTGTGTACTCACCTAGTTGCGCTTGTGGGGTTGAGCTTTAGCTCTTTGGTCCCGCCACACACACCTGTGGGTGCGTGTGTAAATCGCAAAGAAATTAACACGTGATGAATAATGTGAAAATGTATAATCATGAATGTTCCTTTTCCTGCCTGTATAATCCCCCTCCTCTGTGTTATATTGTTCACTCTTCTCAAGATGCGACTTACACGAAAATGCTTAACTTGTTCCATTGTTCACTTGACGCTTCTTGTTCCATTTCCCCATCGTCATACTCAAATATATATATTTATTTATTTATTTATATATATATGTCGTACCTAGTAGCCAGAACGCACTTCTCGGCCAACTATTCAAGGCCCGATTTGCCTAATAAGCCAAGTTTTCATGAATTAATTGTTTTTCGACTACCTAACCTAACCTAACCGATAAAGATAGGTTAGGTTAGGTAGGGTTGGTCAGGTTCGGTCATATATCTACATTAATTTTAACTCCAATAAAAAAAATTGACGTCATACGTAATGAAATGGGTAGCTTTATAATTTCATAAGAAAAAAATTAGAGAAAATATACTAATTCATGAAAACTTGGCTTATTAGGCAAATCGGGCCTTGAATAGTAGGCATAGAAGTGCGTTCTGGCTACTAGGTACGACATATATATAATATATATATAATATATATATATATATATATATATATATATATATATATATATATATATATATATAAATGTGTGTAAAATAAGTCTCACAAAGCCATCGAGTTTAATCTTGGCCTATGTTCAAAATTTTAACCAAATAACCTACGGCAACCTAATATAGGATTTGTGTATTAAACTATTTTTATTTTTAATCGTTTGAAAATCCATTTTCTAGGACCGACTTAATTAGCAGAGTGGAAAGTCATATTTGTAATTTCTATAAATATTGTAAATCTTAATATAAAAAACTAGAGGAGAGGTTGCTAATTTGTAGGTCACTGATGACGATTAGTTGATCACATGTTTTACACAGTGAGTACCAGGTAGCAATTGCTAATATCAGAACTGCCTTTAGAAATTTGTGTAATGAATCATTCTGAATATTGTGTACGATACATGTCAGACCAATCCTGGAGTATGCCACTAGACTAGTTCCAGAAATACGTGGCATGAGTTACGAGGAAAGTCTTCACGAACTGAGCCTCACAGCTGGATGGACAGCGCTTCGGATTCGTAATCCTGAGGTTCCGGGTTCGATCCCCGGTGGAGGCGGAGACAAATGGGCAAAATGTTTCTTTCACCCTGATGCCCCTGTTACCTAGCAGTAAATAGGTATCTGGAAGTTAGACAGCTGCTACGGGTTGCTTCCTGAGGGAGACTGTAACAAAAAGGAGGCCTGGTCGAGGACCGGGCCACGGGGACGCTAAGCCCCGAAATCATCTCAAGATAACCACATCTCTGGAAGACAGACATGATTGCCACATGCAAAATCCTTAAGGCAATAGGTATGGCTGGAAAAAAATAGAAAATAATTCTTTCATTAGCAAGAATTATTTTAGTGTCAGAGTAGTCAACAAATGGAATGCACTAGCTAGTGATGCAATGCCAGCAGGCTCCATACATGGTTTTAAATGTAGATATGATGTAGCCTAATAAGCTCAGAACCTGTTTAGCAGTTGAAAAGCGGGACCAAAGAGCCAAAGTTCAACCCTTGATAGCACAATTAAGTGAGTATAATTAGGAGTGAGGGGAATATACCACTATTCAAGTTCAAATATGTTTAGTGAGACAAGAAAATACATTTCAAAGGGATAGAGTAGCTTAAGCTATGTCTATCCCCTCCCCCCCCAATAAGAGGCAGAAAGGCAGTATTGGGCAACATCACTCATCCTGTGAGATGGGTAAAAGCCCCAAGTATCCAGGGAATTTAATAGCGACGTCTCGTCACTTCTGCGTCGAGTCCAGTCATATACATTGTTCTTGGGGTTGATAAAGTATAGTTATCAGATGAATCCTTCAAGCCCGAAGCACTATATGGCTATGAGGTTTGTAATTATATTTATTTTTAAGAATTATGTGGGTGTTGTGAGAGAGAGAGAGGCTGATGGGGGTTAATCTTCCCGACCTTGGTTCAGTTTACATAATGCATTTCAGAAAGTGCATTGTATTGTTGCAGCTTTGCCAAACATTTTAAGGCTCAAAGTTAAGACTTTATTTGACTGACACGATGACTGCGGTGCATTTCTATTACTATTCTGAGCACGAAATTCAGTTTAAACTTCCTTTTGTAGTTTATTTTACCCTTCACACAGGATGAGTCTCGTGTCGTGTAGCTCCATCGTCACATTACCGGACCAATTTGCTGTTATTGTGACTTTTTAACATTAATGTACTGTATTCTTTATGTAAACTTTCCCAATTTATAAATGTACAATCATTTATGAATAAAGTCTTTGGTCTGATTAGTATGCTCAACACTTCCAAGTTAAAAGTAATCCCGTTGGGTTGCTACTGACCAGTGCTCAATTACCCAAAATGGGCATGTAATTGGTAAAAGGTTAAAATGTGTCCTGACTCAGGACGCTCCCTCGTTGGACATTATGTTTGTGTTCTAATATGAATAACAGCAGAGTTTAGCAGTCACGGGTCACTGTGACGTTACCCCGATGTTAGCAGTCACGGGTCACCACTGTGACGTTACCCCGATGTTAGCAGTCACGGGTCACCACTGTGACGTTACCCCGATGAACTTGAACATTTCCTGTAATCTTTCCAAAAATTATGTTATTTAGTTCATTAATTATGCACCCTGTACCCATCCTTGGGGGGGGGGTTAGAAAAGGTTACAGAGGCACATTTTGTACTCAGGAACTAAACCTTCCAAATTCATATATAAATATGGGAATGGCTTGTTATAAAAATTACATATATGTAGGATTTTTACTTGAATTAAGTGGTAATTGTTGGGAAAGTTCGATAAAAGTATTACATGCTACTTTTTTTCGTTTTAAATAATGCAGGACGTTATTATAGGTCAAAATATCATATTATATATAGGCTCAGTGTTAGGTTATTTCATAAACAAATATATTAACAAAAATAATTTATTTTGTACACTATAGATCATTAAAATAATACCTGCGGGGTAGCTGGAATCCTTTTGGGTATATTGATCACAAATTAATAAATCTATCGAGTATTAAATCTTTTATACAGACGGACTTTGACAGAGGAGTAGAGAGGAAGAGGTGAGAGGTAGGGAGAAGAGAGGTAAAGAGGTAGAGGAGAGCGTGAAAGCTTGAGAGAGGCGACTTATGGGAGAAGAGTTGACAGGAGGGAGCGAGCGAGGCGTGGAGGAGCTACTTCATAATGTCGTCGATGGAGAAGCCTCGCCTCTTCTTGCCGCTGTCCTCCTCGGCCTCCGTCAGCAGGAACGGTTTCTTGGCCGCAGGGTAGACCAGGGCCTCGAGGCTGTGCTTCCGCGACTCCACCTCCTTCTTCACCGGGTAGTTGTAGAGGGGTATGAGGGTCACGTCCTTGGGTAGCGTGGGCGTGGGGATGGTGGTGGAGGACACGGAGCAGGTCCTCAGTATGTGAGTGTCGGTGACACGGCAGTGGTCGTCGGGAGTGGTTCTCTGCGGGAGTATCTGTGCTGACGGTAGAGTGCGGTGGGCGTCGTGGGCGTGCTGGGCCTTGTGGACGGCCAGCGTGCGCGCCTGGCAGAAGCCCTTGCCACACACTTCACACTTGAAGGGCTTGTCCTTGCTGTGGATGTACTTGTGGTCGCGGAGGTGGTCTTGTCTCCTGAAGGCCTTGCCGCAGATGTCGCAAGGGAAGGGCCGCTCGTCCGTGTGTGTTCTCTCGTGGATCAGCAGGTTGTAGCTCTTGGTAAACTCCCGTTGACAATACTTGCAGATGTATCGCTTCTTGGGTCGGCTGAGGCGTCCCCCAGGAGTCAACAGGAGACGGTTGAGTGCCAGGTCGCCGGCGCCCAGAGCCGCCCACGGCAGCTGACCCAGGGACCCGTAGTTCTGCAGCATCCCCATCAATCTGGGGTCGACTCCTGCCGCTGTGTGTTTAGCAGCCGCGGCGACGGAGGCGATGGTGGGGAGCATGGGGAAGGGTGACAGGAGAGGCAGCAGGGAGGGACCTCGCGGGACCCAGGGTGTGAAGGCTGACCCACGGTCCAGACCCGGGAACTGGAAGCCACAGGGACTGGTGGGTGTGGGCGGCGGGGTGAGCAGACCTGTGGGGGGGAAACACACGTGGTCAGTGCACCTGGTTACCTCAGCAGCACACAAGCGAGCCCAATGCACTTCCGTCAACAGCGTGCACCAGCACCCATCATGTCAGTGTCCACTAATATTATCTACTTCATTTTACGGCAACATTTCTTATTAAATTTAAAATAAACTTAACTCATAACGTAAAGTTTTTCCTCAAGACCGTCCGTCATTTACATACAATGTCAACAGTCACAATAAATACATAACATTAACGTACCAGACTGAGTGCAGTCCTTCTCTGTGGCTCGCTCTTCCTCTCCACTGGTGGCCATTGTCCCCGATCACACTTGTTCAGTATCGGAACAGAGAAGGCTAAGTTAAATCCTTTGATACGCGGTATTAATTATAATACGTGCGTGCATGCGTGAGTGTGTGTGTGTGTGTGGGGCTGAAGATGCTATCAGCGTACCACTAACTGGTCAGTCCGGGGGTCCGGAG